AATTGATAATGATGGAAAATAAGATATATTAAAATATCTTGCATATATATATACAGTGGGGAAAAAAAGTATTTAGTCAGCCACCAATTGTGCAAGTTCTCCCACTTAAAAAGATGTTAAATATTTTCCTCTAAACACCAATAACCAGTGGCAATTTTACAAAAAATATTGGTGGGGAAAATGCAATCAACAAAGCTCATACAGTGGGGAAAAAAAGTATTTAGTCAGCCACCAATTGTGCAAGTTCTCCCACTTAAAAAGATGAGAGGCCTGTAATTTTCGTCATAGGTACACGTCAACTATGACAGACAAATTGAGAATTTTTTTCTCCAGAAAATCACATTGTAGGATTTTTAATGAATTTATTTGCAAATTATGGTGGAAAATAAGTATTTGGTCACCTACAAACAAGCAAGATTTCTGGCTCTCACAGACCTGTAACTTCTTCTTTAAGAGGCTCCTCTGTCCTCCACTCGTTACCTGTATTAATGGCACCTGTTTGAACTTGTTATCAGTATAAAAGACACCTGTCCACAACCTCAAACAGTCACACTCCAAACTCCACTATGGCCAAGACCAAAGAGCTGTCAAAGGACACCAGAAACAAAATTGTAGACCTGCACCAGGCTGGGAAGACTGAATCTGCAATAGGTAAGCAGCTTGGTTTGAAGAAATCAACTGTGGGAGCAATTATTAGGAAATGGAAGACATACAAGACCACTGATAATCTCCCTCGATCTGGGGCTCCACGCAAGATCTCACCCCGTGGGGTCAAAATGATCACAAGAACGGTGAGCAAAAATCCCAGAACCACACGGGGGGACCTAGTGAATGACCTGCAGAGAGCTGGGACCAAAGTAACAAAGCCTACCATCAGTAACACACTACGCCGCCAGGGACTCAAATCCTGCAGTGCCAGACGTGTCCCCCTGCTTAAGCCAGTACATGTCCAGGCCCGTCTGAAGTTTGCTAGAGTGCATTTGGATGATTCAGAAGAGGATTGGGAGAATGTCAGATGAAACCAAAATAGAACTTTTTGGTAAAAACTCAACTCATCGTGTTTGGAGGACAAAGAATGCTGAGTTGCATCCAAAGAACACCATACCTACTGTGAAGCATGGGGGTGGAAACATCATGCTTTGGGGCTGTTTTTCTGCAAAGAGACCAGGACGACTGATCCGTGTAAAGGAAGGAATGAATGGGGCCATGTATCGTGAGATTTTGAGTGAAAACCTCCTTCCATCAGCAAGGGCATTGAAGATGAAACGTGGCTGAGTCTTTCAGCATGACAATGATCCCAAACACACCGCCCAGGCAACGAAGGAGTGGCTTCGCAAGAAGCATTTCAAGGTCCTGGAGTGGCCTAGCCAGTCTCCAGATCTCAACCCCATAGAAAATCTTTGGAGGGAGTTGAAAGTCCGTGTTGCCCAGCGACAGCCCCAAAACATCACTGCTAGTGCTAGAGGAAATCTGGCCTAGCCAGTCTCCAGATCTCAACCCCATAGAAAATCTTTGGAGGGAGTTGAAAGTCCGTGTTGCCCAGCGACAGCCCCAAAACATCACTGCTAGTGCTAGAGGAAATCATCACTGCTACTGCTAGAGGAGATCTGCATGGAGGAATGGGCCAAAATACCAGCAACAGTGTGTGAAAACCTTGTGAAGACTTACAGAAAACGTTTGACCTGTGTCATTGCCAACAAAGGGTATATAACAAAGTATTGAGAAACTTTTGTTATTGACCAAATACTTATTTTCCACCATAATTTGCAAATTCTCAATTTGTCTGTCATAGTTGACGTGTACCTATGATGAAAATTACAGGCCTCTCATCTTTTTAAGTGGGAGAACTTGCACAATTGGTGGCTGACTAAATACTTTTCCCCCCCCCACTGTATTTGTAAAAAGGATATGTATGTGTATATGTGTATATGTGTATATATATATATATATATACACACACATATATAAGGCCCCGTGTAGCTCAGTTGGTAGAACATGGTGCTTGCAACGCCAGGGTTGTGGGTTCGTTTCCCACGGGGGGCCAGTATTAAAATGTATGCACTCACTAACTGTAAATCGCTCTGGATAAGAGCGTCTGCTAAATGACTAAAATGTCAAATGTAAATATATTTGCGAGAAAAAAAACTTATGGGGGATTGGAAGTGACGCAGACAATTACATTGATGGAAGTTACAATCTGCAATAGTAAAGCTGATCTACCACCTAAAAGAAAACGATTATTAATATTATGCGGAAACATTTGTGTGTGTTAACCACTTTTGTTACAGTATACGGTTATTGTTATTTCTAATATAAAACTTTAATTCTGAACTTTAAGCTTCTGGTCAGAATGTGAGTCATTTTCATTATTCAATTATTCAACGCATCAGCAGCTGATTAGTCCAGAAGTTGGATTAAAGACATCCATGGACCAATCACCACCGACGGTGTTGCGTTACGATGAACAAAAAGGAGGTGTTCCTGATTTTTCAGACATGCCCTATTGCTGCTTGGATCACATCAGAGGAAATTACACATTATAGTTACACAACTTCTTGACTTTTTGGTAGTGATGGGACACCAAAGTTTTCTGAAGCCTTTGGGGCTTTCACCAAAATGTGCCGAAAAACGGATTTGAACACAATTAATGACATCTGTTGGTCAGGAATAAACATCAGCATGTTTGATGTTTATATAGATGTTACCCTCCCACATCCATCAAAACCTCATGGTGCAATGGATATGTGTGAATTTTAATCAACTAAAGTTAGTTTGAATGTGGGGTTCACAATTTTTTAAACTGAAAATCGGTGGTATTATTTAGGATGCTGAAGACAAAAGATTATCATATGCTATACTAAATAAAATTAATTATTTGAACAACAATATGCAGATAGTGTGGTTTCACAGAAAATAATTGTCCGAACTTAGCCAGGACTCAATCCTGTACCTATGGTATCTGATTATTTCCTAATCCTTGACCCTTCCTTACCTGCTGAGCTACCATTCAGGTGGTTTATAATGAAAAGCACATTTGTCTATAGAGTACCACAGTATGAGTCATAATACCCATAAAATCTAGCAGTCAAACAGGGAAATGGTTCCAATCGTTTTCCCACCAATTATTGTTCCCGTAGGGGATTTTAGAAACACGTAAAATAAGGGCTGTGTTTTGTGTAGGCTTACCCTTGTGTGACGTATTGATAACCGTGTAAATCTCTCTAGGACAAGGTGACATCAATATATTCGCCTGTATTTACCCCCCAAAATGAAATGCTAATTAGCTGCTAATGTGGCTATCATAAAGAACTACAAATGCCATGATCTGGATGAGCCTGCTGAATCGAGGCAAAAGTAAAAATCTCTGGATTAACTATCTAATGTTAGCTAAATGTAGTAATGAATAAATTGGCAAAATGTATTTAAATGGACAATTCGGTGAACTGTCTTGTGCAAGTTTTAAATTGACACAATACCTGTTAGCAAAGGTGTCAGCTAGAGATGACGTGCAGGAGCTTGCAGGGATTTGTAGTTTTGCATGGTGTCTACTTTGATGCTAATTAGCATTTTTGAATCGGAGAGTAAATAGAGACCAATATATTGATAAAAGTCACCTTGTCCGAGAGAGATTTACATGGTTATCAAAACGTCGCGCCAGGGTAAGCCTACACAAAACACAGCCCTTATTTTAAGTGTTTCTAAAAACGATTGTCAAGGAAGTGAGTTTGTGTTTATACAGGATGTACGGTCCCCACCTACCGTCAACCAATCATATAAATGCGGAGCAATACGGAGCCCTCCACATTGCTACAAAATTTGAGAGGCGCACGGCAATGCAATATGAAGCTTGATTAGGCCTCTGCATGCCTCCAGAGGCTCCGCAATTGAGTCACCCTCCATACGAAGCTTCCGACCACATTAGCAGATCAAGCATAAATTGGCTTTAACTTCAAAGCAGTGTGCCCATGACAAACCGTGTATAAAAGTTTCATCTAACCAGTAGTTTAGCAAGTAGAGAAGGGAGCTATGGAACATTCAGAGAAGTGGGGGTATGGGGTCGAATCCCATTGAAGGCACATTATTTTGAAAATGTTTCTTTCTGCACTGTTGTTCAAATAATTTGTTTTATTTAGTATAAGCTTCTGTTTTAAGCATCCTAAATAATACCATAGATTACGTTTTTGAAAAATAGTCAATTTGAAGGAAAAAAAGAGAAGCATGATGAGAACCTGGTATTCCAACTGATTATAGGCCACTATATCCAATGATTTACCGTTGTGCCACCGTGTTACAATTAAAAGAAGAGAGTCAAATACCTCTCTGATAATCCCACGGTGCTATTTATTGCTGACCAGCAGATGTCACTAATGTGCATTGTGAACAGATAATGACGCTCTGAGTAATTAACCGTTTCCCGGCACAATTTGTTGAAAGAGCCGAAACCTACAGAAAGCCTCGGTTTCCCATCACTACAGATTGCTATAGCATATGATGTGTTAGCTGATATGTAAAATACCTATCCAGGCGTTTTAAGAGCTGGCATGCATCAGCAACGCCTGGGCAGAGGAACACGCCCAACATGCATACCAATTAAAGATCTTGACTAATCAGATGCAAGGCCCAATTAGGGCCTAATCCAGCCCAGGTGTGCAGCCTGGTTGGTTGTTAAAAGCTACCTCAGTTTCATCAATTGTAGCATAGCAGAGGCACGCTGTCCTCTAACCTACAGAGTCACATTAATTGTTGGCGGCATGGGCTTTATGATGGCAAACGCGCTCAGGGTGTTGTTAAAGCAACTGGTTTTGTTTTTACTGGTGGAAAACTTAATCTCTCCTACTTTTTCATATACTTACAGCACTGACACATGGCAACAACAACTTCCAAGCCGAACGTCGCAATTTGACAATCGTCCACCCTTTAAACAGCTTCCACTTCACCAACAAACAGTTTCCAGACCAGTTCGAGTTGAAACGGTCGCTGTGACGTGCTTTTCAGACTACATGGCGATAGTCGTGAAGGCTGATCTGTTTAAACTCGGTAATCTAATCGACGTGGATGACCTGCGCCTTGGAGTTGAACAGTACGAAGACCAAGAGCCTTGTAAGGCTACAGCAGCCGGAGATGAGTACAGAATATTTGCAGCACTATCGGACTGTGGAACCAAGCATTTGGTAATTGTTTTGTTTGTTTCAGTAGTTGACTTCTTGAAACAACCTTCCCTAAATGTTGTTTTGTGAATCCACAGATGAACAAAGACTCCTTGATCTACACAAACCTCCTGAGATATACACCCAGAACTACTCCAGATGGGGTTATTCGAATGGATGGTGCTGTAATCCCAATTGAGTGTCATTATGAAAGGTGAGTTTAGGCTATACTGTTGTATGACGATCATATGAATACTGCATAGCCCTGTTGGTTTGTTTACCGGCCTGTACTTTTTGTTTCAGGAAGTATAGCTTGGACAGTGCCTCTCTCCAGCCGACCTGGATCCCCTTCACCGCCGCAGTGTCAGCTGAAGACACCCTGCAGTTCTCATTGAAGCTTATGACAAGTGGGTATTAAATCCTGGAATGCATTGAATAGGGTACAACTTTGTTGACCCTTCAGATAATTAAAAGGATACCATCGCGCTCTCCCAGCAGCTTGGTTGAACCCGTGAATAGAATGTTCATATATATACTATGTAGCACAAATGCCCATCTGACATGCAAAATACGCAATCACATCCGACAACGTTATTAATGACATTTCCATCAGTAATGTTATATAGTTTGCCTACTAAATATGGCCCTGTTAAAAAAAAAACTAATTTTAACCTATTAGATGTTAACTAGTTCAGCTCCTTTTGTCAATGTATTCTGTCTGGGGTCGCTTTAAAGAGCGACGCGCGATAACGTTAAAAGGCATCGTTGCAGTACGGTTTTGGGAACGTATCTTTCATATCAGCGAGACATATTCAAAAAACAAAGTTAAATTACTACAGCTTTTATAGGTTTCCCTCAGACATTTCCATGTGACAGCGCTTGTTAATGGAAAACATACAGAAGGCAGAGGCGTACCTGTGGTAATTAGTTATCTGTATCTTCGAACACCTGGGTAAACGGAAGACTGACGCCACAAACGTGTTGTCACTGAAATACTGTCGGCTACAACTGTTACTGTGTTTTGCAGGTGTGAAATTACTTTGTAATTTGAAATAAGGCTTTGTTTCTAGAACCATACTGCAATTGAAAATGTAATCACATTTAGATGCTTTTGCTGCCAGAGGCAATTCACATCTAAACAGAACATGTAAGGTCCTTGGACTATAAGGAGTAACATTAGGCTCCTTTTTAGTTCATTATTGGATAACCTGTCTTTACTGCCACTTCCTGTCCAGGTGACTGGCTCTATGAGCGGGGTTCTGGAGTCTACTTCCTGGGTGATCCCATCAACATGGAAGCGTCTGTCAGGGTTGCTCACCACACCAGGCTCAGGGTCTTTGTTAGCAGTTGTGTGGCCACACTGGACCCCGACAGCAACTCTGTCCCCAGATATGTCTTCATTGAGAATGATGGGTAAGCAGGGGGGGAAAATGGCTTATCAAACTAGTGGCTACATAGAATGACTTTTCTGGCTGGCCCATAGAGAATGATAGAGGCCTCTTGGGACAAACGCCATTTGAGGGCTTCTACCATTTAAGACAACTGGGTGGGGATATCAATGGGTTGTAGCCTCGATGGTGCTGTCATACTCTATAATGGAACAGATATAAAGATGAGTGCGCTGTCCCTGTATAAACTATTTTCCCCGACATGGTGCTTGGCGGTTTCTTTGAGGGTTCTTCATTGGCTACCAAGGAAGATGAACCAATGCCCCAGTATGTATTTTCTATTGTCTCCCTCCAGGTGCTTGATGGATTCCCAGCTGCCTGGTTCCCACTCTGGTTTCATGCGTAGAACCCAGGACAACAAGCTCTGGTTCCACATTGATGCCTTTAGGTTCCACCAGGAGGACAGGGCAGAGGTGAGGGCAGTATTTTAAAAACTAGATGTTGTGGAGGGCATTATGGGTACTGTAGTTGGTAAATGATGCTACAGTAACATTTACAGCCATTATGTAGGCTACTGTGATTCTGTATCTTTGTTCTACTCATCCTGTTTTTTTTTATAGCTGTACATCACCTGCCACCTTATTGCAGTCCCTGTCATGGACCATGCAGAGCCTAGCAACAAGGCATGCTCCTTCATTGATGGCAGGTGTGAGATGTGATTTATTTCCTTAGCTACTCTTACTGGGCTGTGACCTATCCACTGGCATAACCATAGCATTTGTTAAAATTGTTCCTTGAATACTTCTTTCATACATTTCAGATGGAGGTCTGCCGACGAGAATGATTTGCTATGTGGCCGTTGTCTAAGCCTGAAGGGGGTTGATCAAGCTCCAGCACGACGTCCCCTCAGTCCAAGACTAGGTGGTAGCCGACCTGAACCTCGTGGCTACAGCAGCGAGTCCCCAGCTTCTGGTGACAATTGGAGGATTGGGATGAAGGCCAAGAAAGGTGTATTTGGCATCTTAATCCCTCTATTCCCCCTCCCCTCCATCTCAAAACACATTGCAGAAGAGGGTTCAAAGGGCGGGACCTCCATGGTAGAGATGGGAATTGAGGAAGGACTAATTGAAAGTGTCTTCACTGCAAATGTGTTAGTGACGCTTACCTTGCCTGTGTCCTTTTAGTATGGGACCAGGATACTACTTTGGGCCCCATGATGGTCTTCCCAACTAAACAGAAGAGTACACCTCTATCTCCACGGATGAGGGAAGGTATCGATATACCTGGCTTCCACTCTGCAACAGGGGACCGGAGGCCCGTATCACCTGGCAGTCGTTGGAAGAGTGGCATGGACTTCAAGAGGGGTAATGTGACTATCTGAAATGGCATGACCTTATTCCTTATGTAGTGCACAACCTTCAAACCGGTAGTCTTGCTAACCCAACTCCAGGCAACCGCAGTGACTAGGGTCTGGTTTCAATGACTGACTCGTTTGGCAATTTGGTGAGAAAATTAATAATCTGGGGTGGGTCCTCTTCACAGATGGCTCCCAACAAATCACGAGGCAGACATAACAGAACATCATGATTTGAAACCAAATTTGGCAGGGAACCTTTACAGTGGTTTTAGTGAAGGTAGTTTATGCAAACTAGCCACTTGCAAAATGCACTCATTTATAAATAACCTCTGCTCCATCTTGCTAGCTACTATTTTGTATTTATTCAAAGAGATAAGGTAGTGATTTAGGCAGACTTAGTTCCTCTATGTCAAACTGACATTCTATTACGTACAGAAGTGTTAAGCCAGTGACATTTGTGGAAGGCAACCAGGATGTCTAGACTACTGCCCAGACCATGAGGCACTGGTCAAAAGTAGTGCACTCTCTAGGTAATTGGGTGCCATTTTGGACACTTGTCTTTTCATATCCATATAGGCTAGCAATTCTGGCAACACTGGCTGTGTTAACCTGTTACATTTAATTCCAGGACCTAATTTCGCCCAATCCCAAAATTCGGGTAGTCCCTTGGGCCTGAGGGTTGGACCCAACAACAAGCATGGCTTTGTTAGCTCTGCAACATATGATGGCTTCATCAGGCAGAAAGAACTAATTGCCCAAAGAGGTAATGACCGTACTTTACTGTTTTGCATGTATGACAATTGCATGTAGGCTCTGTGCTAAATAGTCTGTCCTCAGAGCTGGAGCCCACTCCAGACCCAGAGTTGATTCCTACACCTGAGCCCATTGAAGACCTTGGAGCAAAGGTTACCACAGAAAGAGGGTCTGATTCAAGATCTGGGTGACGGATCGGTCTAAGATTGGAACCTATTGAAAAGGTATGTATGGGCTCGTGGTACTGCAATTTAGAAGGAAATGACCAGGGCATGGCAAGCAGGTTGGCATTCATTGGGATGGCTCAGCAGAATGGTCACTAGCTGCCACAAAGTAATAAGATCTGATTTTTTTTTTTTAAACCTTAACCACACTAATGCCTAACTTTAAATTAAGACCAAAAAGCATACATTTTTACAATGTAGCCAATTTTGACTTTTCAGCTGGCACATCTAGTGGAAATTGCTCAGTTCCGCCTCCAGGACAAGACCCGTCCCAATAAATGCCAACCTGCACATGGCATTTGCCAGTATCACTTGTACATATCAGCCTTCAGAGCTTTTGATGTGGTTTCATAAAGAAGTTATGAAATGTTCCAGTCCACTAACACTTTTGTATTTCTAGAATTGAAGGTGCGGTTGCAGTGTTGGCCCATATTAGACTAGCTCCAAACAGCAGCACATTCCAACTCACTGAGGGTGGTGCCGATCCTGATGTCCCAGCACACAAGGAGGATGACCCTACAACTATCAGCACCACCACATCTGCTCTTGGAGAACTCAACCAGTGAATGGACTACCACAGTACCACCAAACACTGTAATCTCAATCAGATATCTGAAAAGAACACGAGAAACCCAAGCGATGCCTGTTAACCTCTTTGAGAAATAAATTATTTAATGCTACTTTGACTTAGTTTGTCTTTACCATTATGCATGACATGCAGGAGTAATCTGAAATATTGCCTTCATTTGTGACGTGAATGCCCAGCAGGCTCAACCAACAATGTTGCACTTGGTCTGGAACACCTTCACTGTTGCATGTTGCTGCAAACTGACATTGCCAAGATTCACCTTTGGTTTGCATAGCCAGACATCACATCCTGGATTAATGTGAATCTTAAGGTTCCTGATTGAGCATGGAAGTCACAGGGCATTCCTAGGAAAATTGGGCTTGCAATGTGAACTCTAGCTGTAATGGGTGGACTGCGCAGGAGGTTGGTGGCACCTTAATTGGTGAACGGACTTGTGGTAATGACTGAAGTGGGGCGGCAGGTAGCTTAGTGGTTAAGAGCGTTGTGCCAGTAACCGAAAGGTCGCTGGTTCTAATCCCCGAGCTGACTAGGTGAAAAATCTGTATGTGCCCTTGAGCAAGGCACTTAACCCTAATTGCTCCTGTAAGTCGCTCTGGATAAGAGCGTCTGCTAAATGACCAATTATAATTTATTAATTATATCCAACATGGTTTGCTATTCCATTTGCTCCGTTCCAGCCATTGAGCCATTTTCACCTCAGCAGCCTCCACTGGCGGACTGGAACTGTAAATTGGCACTGGCATTTCTAACTGGCCCTTCTCCTTAACCCCCCCCACTACACCTTTTTTCGTGACTCCCATTAGCCAGAATGATTAAGTGCAAAATCCCAAATTAGACAGGCTCATTGGGCTAAAAATGAACCAGCCCACCTGGCATTTGCCCAAAACTCCCGATGGCCAGTCTGCTCCTGAGGAATTTACATTTTAGTCATTTAGCAAACACACTTATCCAGAACAACTTACAGGAGCAATTAGGGTTAAGTGCCAAGTACACTTATAATACTGTACTTCTCCTGACATGCATCTTGTTCTTGCCTTCTCAAGGGACGCCATTTAACCAGCTGTCACAATCCCCGTACAATCAGCACAAACCCCTCGGAATTTAGCGGTCAACAGTGCATCCCACTGAGCACATATTGATGTTCTTTATCAATATCTACCAGGACGCTTTTCCATTTCAAATAAGCGTGCTCTCCACTCCCATTTCTCCTCTTCAGCTGCAGCAAAATACAGATATGACTGCCCTGACGTCCTACCCACAATGCACCTTTTGATGCTTCTCCCTAGTGATGTTGATTAATGAGGTGATTTACACATTTGACTGTACAGGATTTTTTGCATCTATCAACAAGCATGAATATTATTTATATTATGCACAAACGTACATTTCTCTGTGTGTTAACCATTACAGTATAAGGTTGTTTTAAATATAAAAATGTAATTCTGAACTTTAAAACTCCGTCAGAATGTGAGCCTATTTATATTATTCAATTATTCAACGCATCAGCAGCTGATTAGTCCAGAAGTTGGGTTGAAGAGACCTATGGACCTATCACCGTCGAAGGTGTTGAGTTACCCGAGGAACAAAAGGGTGTAACTGATTCTTCAGACACGCCCTGTTGCTGCTTGAATAGCATCGGAGGAAACGAGACATTTTAGTTAAACGTTTTCAAGTCTCACTTGTTGACGTTTTGGGGTTTCTACGTTTACTTAGGACTGGAGTATACATTCTAAACTGAAATGGGAGCGTGTATGGCATTGTGTTCAATCGCCAGCTGTGTAAGTATCAATTATTGAACTTCCTATTTGTCGTTTTGCTCACTTTGTTAGAGTGAGAGTGTGCAATGACATTTGTTTGTGGGTGCTCATGTAAACACAGACACATTTTCTCTGTTTTCCCAGCAGGTATATTCTAATATGTTTTATGTTGATCTGAAGTCGTTTTAAATACTTACGTTTGGAAAATAAACACATGTTTTGTCGGTCAATGAACATGGTTTTATTTGCTGGAAAAGTCAGCAGTTTCATATTAGCCTAATTTCCGGTTTCAGTGCGTCACGCTGTAACCCTCCCCCCCCACCCCAAATTACCCGCGTGACTGAAATGATTCCCTTTCATATTTCATGCCATGTTGCGGGCGAGTTCAATAATCATGTTAAATATATTTGATTTGATAGTCACTGAAAACGTTTTCTAGGCCTACTGGAACAATAAAACGTGAATGTCTTCCAATTTTGGGGACCCCCACACCACTATAATTACCATGTACAGAGTGATAGGCCTACTGACCCTTTATTGAAGAGTTTATACCACATTCTCACGTCACCAGAAAGCCCTGTCTGTCTGATTTTACCTACAATGTAATGGTTACACCCTCGGAGGCAAGGCTTGTGACTGCTGCTCCACTTTATGGCCTGCCCTGGTGCATACAGCCTGCATACAGAGCATTCGGAAAGTATTTAGACCCCTTTACTTTTTCCACATTTTGTTACATTACAGCCTTATTCTGAAAATGGTAAAAAAATAAAATAATAATCTCATCAATCTATACACAATACCCCATAATGTCAAAGCGAAAACAGGTTTTTAGAAATTTTAGCAAATGTATAAAAACAACAACAGAAATACCTTATTTACATAAGTATTCAGACCCTTTGCTATGAGACTCGAAATTGAGCTCAGGTGCATCCTGTTTCCATTGATCATCCTTGAGATGTTTCTACAACTTGATTGGAGTCCATCTGTGGTAAATTCTATTGATTGGGCATGATTTGGAAAGGCCCACACCTGTCTATATAAGGTCCCACAGTTGACAGTGCATGTCAGAGCAAAAACCAAGCCATGAGGTAGAAGGAATTGTCTGTAGAGCGCTGAGACAGGATTGTGTCGAGGCACAGATCTGGGGAAGGGTACCAGAAAATGTCTGCAGCATTGAAGGTCCCCAAGAACACAGTGGCCTCCATCATTCTTAAATGGAAGAAGTTTGGAACCACCAAGACTCTTCCTAGAGCTGGCCAAACTGAGCAATCGGGGGAGAAGGGCCTTGTTCAGGGAGGTGACCATGAACCTGATGGTCACTCTGACAACGCTCAAGAGTTCCTCTGTGGAGATGGGAGAACCTTCCAGAAGGTCAACCATCTCTGCAGCACTCCACCAATCAGGCCTTTATGGTTGAGCGGCCAGATGGAAGCCACTCCTCAGTAAAAGGCATATGACAGCCTGCTTGGAGTTTGCCAAAAGCCACCTAAAGGACTCTCAGACCATGAGAAACAAGATTCTCTGGTCTGATGAAACCAAAATCGAACTCTTTGGCTTGAATGCTAAGCGTCACGTCTGGAGGAAACCTTGCGTGGTGGTGACGGCATCATGTGTGGGGATGTTTTTCAGCGGCAGGGACTGAGAGACTGGTCAGGATCGAGGGAAAGATGAATTGCGCAAAGTACAGAGAGATCCTTGATGAAAACTTGCTCCAGAGCGCTCAGGACCTCATACTGGGGTGAAGGTTCACCTTCCAACAGGGCAATGACCCTAAGCACACAGCCAAGACAACGCAGGAGGGGCTTCGGGACAAGTCTCTGAATGTCCTTGAGTGGCCCAGCCAGAGCCCGGACTTGAACCCGATCAAACATCTCTGGAGAGACCTGAAAATAGCTGTGCAGCGACGCTCCCCTTCCAACCTGACAGAGCTTGAGAGGATCTGCAGAGAAGAATGGGGGAAACTCTCCAAATACAGGTGTGCCAAGCTGTAGCGTCATACCCAAGAAGACTCCAGGCTGTAATCACTGCCAAAGGTTTTATTTTATTTTATTTCACCTTTATTTAACCAGGTAAGCCAGTTGAGAACAAGTTCTCATTTACAAGCTGCGACCTGGCCAAGATAAAGCAAAGCAGTGCGATAAAAACAACAACACAGAGTTACATATGGGGTAAAAAAATACATAAAGTCAAAAATACAACAGAAAATATATATACAGTGTGTGCAAATGTAGCAAGTTATGGAGGTAAGGCAATAAATAGGCTATAGTGCAAAATAATTACAATTAGTATTAACACTGGAATGCTAGATGTGCAAGAGATTATGTGCAAATAGAGATACTGGGGTGCAAAAGAGCAAAATAAATAACAATATAGGGATGAGGTAGTTGGGTGGGCTAATTTCAGATGGGCTGTGTACAGGTGCAGTGATCGGTAAGGTGCTCTGACAACTGATGCTTAAAGTTAGTGAGGGAGATAAGAGTCTCCAGCTTCAGAGATTTTTGCAGTTCGTTCCAGTCATTGGCAGCAGAGAACTGGAAGGAATGGCGGCCAAAGGAGGTGTTGGCTTTGGGAATGACCAGTGAGATATACCTGCTGGAGCGCAGACTACGGGTGGGTGCTGCTATGGTGACCAATGAGCTAAGATAAGGTGGGGATTTGCCTAGCAGTGATTTATAGATGGCCTGGAGCCAGTGGGTTTGACGACGAACATGTAGTGAGGACCAGCCAACAAGAGCGTACAGGTCACAGTGGTGGGTAGTGTATGGGGCTTTGGAGACAAAACGGATGGCACTGTGATAGACTACATCCAATTTGCTGAGTAGAGTGTTGGAGGCTATTTTGTAAATGACATCGCCGAAGTCAAGGATCGGTAGGATAGTCAGTTTTACGAGGGCATGTTTGGCAGCATGAGTGAAGGAGGCTTTGTTGCGAAATAGGAAGCCGATTCTAGCTTTAACTTTGGATTGGAGATTCTTAATGTGAGTCTGGAAGGAGAGTTTACAGTCTAACCAGACACCTAGGTATTTGTAGTTGTCCACATACTCTAGGTCAGACCCGTCGAGAGTGGTGATTCTAGTCGGGTGGGCGGGTGCCAGCAGCGTTCGATTGAAAAGCATGCATTTAGTTTTACTAGTGTTTAAGAGCAGTTGGAGGCTACTGAAGGAGTGTTGTATGGCATTGAAGCTCGTTTGGAGGTTTGTTAACACAATCAATCAATCAATTTTATTTTATATAGCCCTTCTTACATCAGCTAATATCTCGAAGTGCTGTACAGAAACCCAGCCTAAAACCCCAAACAGCTAGTAATGCAGGTGTAGAAGCACGGTGGCTAGGAAAAACTCCCTAGAAAGGCGAAAACCTAGGAAGAAACCTAGAGAGGAACCAGGCTATGAGGGGTGGCCAGTCCTCTTCTGGCTGTGCCGGGTGGAGATTATAACAGAACCATGCCAAGATGTTCAAAAATGTTCATAAGTGACAAGCATGGTCAAATAATAATCAGGAATAAATCTCAGTTGGCTTTTCATAGCCGATCATTAAGAGTTGAAAACAGCAGGTCTGGGACAGGTAGGGGTTCCATAACCGCAGGCAGAACAGTTGAAACTGGAATAGCAGCAAGGCCAGGCGGACTGGGGACAGCAAGGAGTCACCACGGCCGGTAGTCCCGACGTATGGTCCTAGGGCTCAGGTCTCTCAGTTGGCTTTTCATAGCCGATCATTAAGAGTTGAAAACAGCAGGTCTGGGAACAGGTAGGGGTTTCGTAGCCGCAGGCAGAAACAGTTGAAACTGGAATAGCAGCAAGGCCAGGCGGACTGGGGACAGCAAGGTGTCATCATGCCCGGTAGTCCTGACGTATGGTCCTAGGGCTCAGGTTCTCAGAGAGAAAGAGAGAACGAGAGAATTAGAGAGAGCATACTTAAATTCACACAGGACACTGGATAAGACAGGAGAAGTACTCCAGGTATAACCACTAACCCCAGCCCCCCGACACATAAACTACTGCAGCATAAATACTGGAGGCTGAGACAGGAGCGGTCCGGAGACACTGTGGCCCCATCCGAAGAAACCCCCGGACAGGGCCAAACAGGAAGGATATAACCCCACCCACTCCGCCAAAGCACAGCCCCCGCACCACTAGGGCCAGATGTATACAAAATGGTGTCGTCTGCGTAGAGGTGGATCTGAGAGTCACCAGCAGCAAGATCGACATCATTGATATACACAGAGAAAAGTGTCGGCCCAAGAATTGAACCCTGTGGCACCCCCATAGAGACTGCCATAGGTCCAGACAACAGGCCCTCCGATTTGACACACTGAACTCTATCTGAGAAGTAGTTGGTGAACCAGGCGAGGCAGTCATTTGAGAAACCAAGGCTATTTAGTCTGCCAATAAGAATGCGGTGGTTGACAGAGTCGAAAGCCTTGGCCAGGTCGATGAAGACTGCTGCACAGTACTGTCTATTATCAATCGCGGTTATAATATCGTTTAGGACCTTGAGCGTGGCTGAAGTGCACCCATGACCAGCTCGGAAACCGGATTGCATAGCGGAGAAGGTACGGTGGTATTCGAAATGGTCGGTGATCTGTTTGTTAACTTGGCTTTCAAATACTTTCGAAAGGCAGGGCAGGATGGATATAGGTCTGTAGCAGTTTGGATCTAGAGTGTCACCCCCTTTGAAGAGGGGGATGACCGAGGCAGCTTTCCAATCTCTGGGGATCTCAGACATTACGAAAGAGAGGTTGAACAGACTAGTAATAGGGGTTGCGACAATTTCGGCGGCTAGTTTTAGAAAGAAAGGGTCCAGATTGTCTAGCCCAGCTGATTTGTAGGGGTCCAGATTTTGCAGCTCTTTCAGAACATCAGCTGTCTGAATTTGTGTGAAGGAGAAGCGGGGGGGGGGGGCGGGGGGGGCATTGGGCAAGTTGCAGCGGAGGGTGCAGAGTTGGTGGCCGGGGTAGTGGTAGCCAGGTGGAAAGCATGGCCAGCCGTAGCAAAATGCTTGTTGAAATTCTCAATTATTGTAGATTTATCGGTGGTGATAGTGTTTCCTAGCCTCAGTGCAGTGGGCAGCTGGGAGGAAGTGCTCTTATTCTCCATGGACTTTACAGTGTCCCAAAACTTTTTGGAGTTAGTGCTACAGGATGCAAATTTCTGTTTGAAAAAGTTAGCCTTTGCTTTCCTGACTGCTTGTGTATATTGGTTCCTAACTTCCCTGAAAAGTTGCATATCGCGGGGCCTATTTGATGCTAATGCAGTACGCCACAGGATGTTTTTGTGCTGGTCAAGGGCAGTCAAGTCTGAGGAGAACCAGGGGCTATATCTGTTCTTAGTTCTGTATTTTTTGAATGGGGCATGTTTATTTAAGATTGAGAGGAAATTACTTTTAAGGAACAACCAGGCATCCTCTACTGACGGAATGAGATCTATATCCATCCAGGATACCTGGGCCAGGTCAAATAGGAAGCGTTTGACAGTGATGAGGGGTGGTCGTTTGACCGCGGACCCGTTACGGACGCAGGCAATAAGGCAGTGATCGCTGAGATCCTGGTTGAAGACAGCTGAGGTGTATTTAGAGGGTAAGTTAGTCAGGATGATATCTATGAGGGTACCCATGTTTACGGATTTAGGGTTGTACCTGGTAGGTTCGTTGATAATTTGCGTGAGATTGAGGGCATCTAGTTTGGATTGTAGGATGGCCGGGGTATTAAGCATATCCCAATTTAGGTCACCAAGCAGTACGAATTCTGAGGATAAATGGGGGGCAATCAATTCACATATGGTGTCCAGGGCACAGCTGGGGGCTGAGGGGGGTCTGTAGCAAGCGGCAACAGTGAGAGACTTATTTCTGGAAAGGTGGATTTTTAGAAGTAGAAGCTCAAACTGTTTGGGCACACACCTGGATAGTATGATAGAGCTCTGCAGGCTATCTCTACAGTAGATTGCAACTCCACCCCCTTTGGCAGTTCTATCTAGACGGAAAATGTTATAGTTGGGGATGGAAATTTCAGAATTTTTGGTGGCCTTCCTAAGCCAGGATTCAGACACTGCTAGAACATCAGGGTTGGCGGAGTGTGCTAACGCAGTGAATAACTCAAACTTAGGAAGTAGACTTCTGATATTTACGTGCAAGAAACCAAGACTTTTGCGATTACAGAAGTCAGCAAATGATAGCACCTGGGGAGTAGGAGTGATACTGAGGGCTGCAGGGCCTGGGTTAGCCTCTACATCACCAGAGGAACAGAGGAGGACTAGAATAAGGATACGGCTAAAGGCTTTAAGAACTGGTCTTCTAGTGCGTTGGGTACATAGAATAAAGGGGGCAGATTTCCGGGCGTTGTAGAAAAGATTCAGGGCATTATGTACAGACAAGGATATTGAAGGATATGAGTAAAGTGGAGGTAAACCTAAGCGTTGGGTAACAAAGTACTGAGTAAAGGGTCTGAATACTTACAGTACCAGCGTTTGGACACACCTACTCATTCAAGGGTTTTTCTTTTCTTTTTTTACTATTTTCTACATTGTAGAATAATAATGAAGACATCAAAACTATGAAATAACACATGGAATCATGTAGTAACCAAAACAGTGTTAAACAAATCAAAAATATATTTTATATTTTAGATTCTTCGAAGTAGCCACCCTTTGCCTTGATGACAGCTTTACACACTTGGCATTCTCTCAACCAGCTTCATGAGGTAGTCACCAGGAATGCATTTCAATTAATAGGTGTGCCTTGTTAAAAGTTCACACAGCATCTCTAGACTTGAGTTTGCATGAATCATCAGAGAGCGGCGAGAGATGCCTCCCAAGGACCATTATCCTTCTGTGACATCATACAACACGTGCACAGCACTGGGTCTCTTCCTCAATTCATCTGTCCTGATTCCTCCCATCCTCTTCTCGCTTCTTCTTAAAACACTTTGGAAAGGGACCTTGGATCTCAACCAATGTGTTTATAGAAGGAGGCAAGGAGAGGGAAGACGAGGAATCATGGAAAGATGTTGATTGAGAAAGAGCACGTATCAGGCAGGGGGCTGTGTTAGAGTTCTTTGCTGTAATGTAATTTAATGAGTGGCAGCCCCTGTCATTGTCACTGGCAGGATTACCTTCAATAGAACCAAATCAAATTGTATTTGCCACATGCTCAGATTACAACAGGTGTAGACATTAGTCTTATGGCTTGGGGGTAGAAGCTGTTAAGAAGCGTTTTGGACCTAGACTTGGCTCTCTGGTACCGCTTGCCGTGCGGTAGCAGAGAGAACAGTCTATGACTAGGGTGGCTGGAGTCTTTGATAGTTTTTATGGCCTTCCTCTGACACCGCCTGGTATAGAGGTCCTGGATAGCAGGAAGCTTTGCCCCAGTGATGTACTGGGCCGTACACACTACCCTCTGTAGTGCCTTGCGGTCGGAGGCCGAACTATCAGTTGTCTGAGCTCGTTTGGATGGAAAACGCAATGGTTGCCGTGCCAATAAAAATAAAATACAGAAATGTGTCACTTTACAGTGATATGTTTGCTTATGAATCTTTCCCAACGATGCAGAGTTTAATAATATAAAATAGTAACCAACACAATAAATAAAATACACAAGAATGGAGCTGTATACAGGGAATAACAACAGGCGGTGGCGCACAGTAGATTTGTTGCACACACACACACTCAAACCATGCACGCATTTGCAAGATTATCTCATCTATCCTCTTATGCCTTCCTTCTCCCTATGGCACACCAAAAATATGACTAGTTGTCTGTGTTGTCCTATCTATCTATCTAGGCATCGTGTCTGTGTGGCTCAGCTCCGTGTCTGCTGTCAGGATGCTGTCCCTCCACCTACAACTCCACTGTGTCCCGGCTGGCCTTCTCCTTCCTGCTACTGCTGGGGTCTCTGGTCTCTGTCATCATGATCCTACCTGGCATGGAGACTCAGCTCAAGAAGGTAACACCACATAACACAACCCTGGTCTTAGTTGCTTGATGAGGAGCCTTGCCTGAGACCTACACATTTGTGTTAGCTCCCTGAACTAATGCTAAGGGTTTAGCTCAGCGGGCTAACACAGACTTAGCTTGCAGGAGACCCTGGTTCGAACCCAGTTGGTCACACAAGCTGGTGTAGACTGCCCTGTGGTTGACAACGTTTTGACCTGTGTCATGTACATTGTTGGTTCTATTTTTACTATGTTTCTTCACTGATCTATCAGATACCAGGGTTCTGTGTGGGCGGAACCTCCATACCCATACCAGGCATCGAAAACAAGATGAACTGTGATGTCATCGTGGGCTATAAGTCTGTGTACCGCATGTGCTTTGCCATGGCCTGCTTCTTTTTTCTCTTCTCCATCATCATGATCCGCGTTCGCAGCAGCAAGGACCCCCGAGCCTCACTACAGAATGGGTATGTAGCGGCTTTTATAGGAGTGGATAGTGATGTTCGGGAATACAACGTTGCCCTCTGCTGGCCAGACCAAGGCAGTGCAGCATCCCCCACACCCTTATTTGTTTACATACCAGCTGAAAATATTAGGGCCGGGAGGATACCAGGATCGCAATACTCTTTGTATCATGGCAAGGAAACAAAACACGAAGCGGATTTAACTTCTTTAGGAAAAAAGCACTAATGTTGGAAACAAACATCATTATGGTGTCATCCAGAGTCACATTTATTGATATTCTAATCTATAGCACACAATGTTTTACATACAGCAGGTTAAGGGAGCAAATAGGTTGGGGTCTGCTTCATTTTTTAATTTTTTTGCCATGGAAAAAATATTGCAATACTGCCCTATAAAATATTACCGGTTTTTATTATTTTAATTTTTATGGTGCACACACGCACAGACACAACTTGTTTTTGTATGATGTTATGTATTGAATGAATGCCTGTGGCTTTGTCCACACAGATTCTGGTTCTTCAAGTTCCTTATACTGGTGGGGATAACTGTAGGAGCCTTCTTCATTCCAGACGGGACATTCAACACAGGTATGCACTATTATATTACTACAATGTTAAATATTTTCCTCTAAACACCAATAACCAGTGGCAATTTTACAAAAAATATTGGTGGGGAAAACGCAATCACAAAGGTCATACAGTGCGGAAAAAAAGTATTTAGTCAGCCACCAATTGTGCAAGTTCTCCCACTTAAAAAGATGAGAGGCCTGTAATTTTCATCATAGGTACACGTCAACTATGACAGACAAAATGAGAAAAAAAATCCAGAAAATCACATTGTAGGATTTTTAATGAATTTATTTGCAAATTATGGTGGAACATAAGTATTTGGTCAATAACAAACGTTTCTCAATACTTTGTTATATACCCTTTGTTGGCAATGACACAGGTCAAACGTTTTCTGTAAGTCTTCACAAGGTTTTCACACACTGTTGCTGGTATTTTGGCCCATTCCTCCATGCAGATCTCCTCTAGAGCAGTGATGTTTTGGGGCTGTCGCTGGGCAACACGGACTTTCAACTCCCTCCAAAGATTTTCTATGGGGTTGAGATCTGGAGACTGGCTAGGCCGCTCCAGGACCTTGAAATGCTTCTTACGAAGCCACTCCTTCGTTGCCCGGGCGGTGTGTTTGGGATCATTGTCATGCTGAAAAACCCAGCCACGTTTCATCTTCAATGCCCTTGCTGATGGAAGGAGGTTTTCACTCAAAATCTCACGATACATGGCCCCATTCATTCTTTCCTTTACACGGATCAGTCGTCCTGGTCCCTTTGCAGAAAAACAGCCCCAAAGCATGATGTTTCCACCCCCATGCTTCACAGTAGGTATGGGGTTCTTTGGATGCAACTCAGCATTCTTTGTCCTCCAAACATGACGAGTTGAGTTTTTACCAAAAAGTTCTATTTTGGTTTCATCTGACCATATGACATTCTCCCAATCCTCTTCTGGATCATCCAAATGCACTCTAGCAAACTTCAGACGGGCCTGGACATGTACTGGCTTAAGCAGGGGGACACGTCTGGCACTGCAGGATTTGAGTCCCTGGTGGCGTAGTGTGTTACTGATGGTAGGCTTTGTTACTTTGGTCCCAGCTCTCTGCAGGTCATTCACTAGGTCCCCCCGTGTGGTTCTGGGATTTTTGCTCACCGTTCTTGTGATCATTTTGACCCCACGGGGTGAGATCTTGCGTGGAGCCCCAGATCGAGGGAGATTATCAGTGGTCTTGTATGTCTTCCATTTCCTAATAATTGCTCCCACAGTTGATTTCTTCAAACCAAGCTGCTTACCTATTGCAGATTCAGTCTTCCCAGCCTGGTGCAGGTCTACAATTTTGTTTCTTGTGTCCTTTGACAGCTCTTTGGTCTTGGCCATAGTGGAGTTTGGAGTGTGACTGTTTGAGGTTGTGGACAGGTGTCTTATATACTGATAACAAGTTCAAACAGGTGCCATTAATACACGTAACGAGTGGAGGACAGAGGAGCCTCTTAAAGAAGTTACAGGTCTGTGAGAGCCAGAAATCTTGCTTGTTTGTAGGTGACCAAATACTTATTTTCCACCATAATTTGCAAATAAATTCATTAAAAATTCTACAATGTGATTTTCTGGAAAATAATTTCTCAATTATTTGTCTGTCATAGTTTACGTGTACCTATGATGAAAATTACAGGCCTCTCATCTTTTTAAGTGGGAGAACTTGCACAATTGGTGGCTGACTAAATACTTTCCCCCCCCCACTGTATGCATCAAAACTGCTACACATTGAATGCACTAATCACCAATCCCAGAAATTAGTTTTGAGCCACACACACAAACGTTATAACATTTGGGTTATGAACAGTTAATGGCTACTTCCCATATCTTTAGCTCATATTGCATGGAAGACCACGTTAGTCGAGCATACTTTTATAGAGTAAACTAGCTAGTAATCGGTCTGCATTATTGCAACACTGCGTGCGTCTGCCTGCCTGTTACAAATGGGCCCGGTTAACAATATGCAACATTTTATAACGCTATTCCCTTGCTTCATCTATTGAACAGTTACAGTTCCATCAAATTAATGTATAACTAACCTTTCTTTTACATGTGGTTCCATGGGTATTAGTCTGCCATCAAACATCAACAATAAGACATGTAGCCTATAGGATATTATAGCTAGCCTACCTCAAAATAGATGTTAGCCACTGCTTCATGATCCACCACCAACCACATAATGCTAAGTTTGAAAATTATTTGCTAGGAGATAGCAAAGCTAGTTGACATGTTTCACCTAGCTAAGCTACCTAGCTTGAAGACGTGGTAAACAACTAGCTAGCTATGACGTTGACACATCAGTCCAATCAAAGTTACCGAGCGTAAGATGTTGCTTTATCTGTGGCCAATGGCAATGAGCCTTCTTGGGCGGGCACTTCCACTGTAAATCAATGGAGCACCGAATAAGGGCTTTTGATGGCTAGCTCTCCCAGCAGGTGCTGCGGTGAAGTAGTGTCCCCATGAGTGACCAGACCCTCAGCCAATTACGCGCAACCAGAGAAGTTCAACGACGCCAGCGCTCTGTACTTTCTTTGTCTGCCTCTCCACCACAGAAAGCACTGAGCGAGGCTGGAACAGTTGCATTTTGGAGCTGCCTGACTAAACGAAAATGTACCAATACAATGAGAAAGCGACCACATACTTATTAGATCAAGCAATTTTTTAAAATACAATTAAATTGTTTGCTTACTGATATGCTATATTGTTGTGACATGAATTATCAGGATTGAATGCAAATCTCCTGGATATTGGTGGGCCCGGCCCAAGTGACGCATTGTCACTGCCAATAACGTGTAGTCAATTATGGTCAATTAATCACCCCTTGCACATTTGACTTTTAACAAACTCACTGTGTGTGTGTGTGTGTGTGTGTTCCAGTGTGGTTCTACTTTGGCGTGGTGGGTTCCTTCATCTTCATCATCATCCAGCTGATCCTGCTGGTGGACTTTTCTCACACCTGGAACCAGTCTTGGCTGGAGAATGCTGAGGAGGGAAACAGCAAGTGCTGGTTTGCAGGTACTGATCGTTAATACAGTCTACTGATTGAAATGAGTGTAGTCTATCTCATTTAAATTCTGCCACAAGAGTCGCTAGAGCGTGATGGGACAAGGACATCACGGCCTGCAAAACCCTCCCCTAACCCGGACGACACTGGGCCAATTGTGCGCCGCTTCATGGGTCTCCCGGTTGCGGCCGGCTGTGAAACAGCCTGGGATCGAACCCGGGTCTGTAGTGACGCCTCTAGCACTGCGATGCAGTGCCTTAGACCGCTGTGCCACTCGGGAAGCCATAATCGGATGTGTTCTTATGTTTCCCCTCCCACAGCTCTCCTGTCGTTCACTGTGCTGCACTATGCCCTGGCCTTCTCTGCTGTGGTGTTGTTCTATGTCTACTACACCACAGGAGATGACTGCACAGAACACAAGGTCTTCATCAGCCTCAACTTCATCTTCTGCATCATCATCTCCATCATTGCCATCCTGCCCAAAGTTCAGGTGATGTTTCAGTCTCGAAAGATTGATACCTGCACACTGAAAGTTCCCATAGTTTTATTGAGTACGATGTTTCTTTGCAGGCTGTTTCAGTCTTGTTCCTCACTCTTTGAAATACATACACATACTGAAGTTCATTCAGGAGTGTAAATATTAGCGATGTTTGCAATTATTAAAGATCATCAAAATGTTAACGCTGCAATATGTAACTACAATATGTAACTGAGTTATAGATCTGTCATTCTCATTGAAAGCAAGTCTAACAAGAGGTAGATCTGTTCTATGTGCTATTTCTATGCTTTCCGTTCTTAAGTTTTGTTTTTGTCTTTTACTTTAGGTTTTGTACACCAGCTTCAAGCAGCTGAAAATACAATATTTTTGGTCATGGAAATATTTCAGTCGTTTAGATGGTACAAGGACTTTCTACACAATGACTGCTTGTTTGGTCACAAACTGAAATTAGGCGAACTAGTTGAATTTTAGCAACCAGGGAATGGCGGCGCAATTTCTGCATATTGCACCTTCTAAACAATGAGTGAATTATTTTTTAATGTGAATGTTGTTGAACAAAATTAGACTAATGTGTTTTGTGTGTCTGTGTCTTGTTTATTTACTTATTTATGTATTTATTTTCCCCCAGGAGGCCCAGCCCAGCTCAGGCCTGCTCCAGGCCTCCCTCATCTCCCTCTACACCATGTATGTCACATGGTCCGCCATGACCAACAACCCCAGTAAGTTTCATCATGACCCTACTGATGACCCTGTTCAGCCATTGGTTCAGAGTCATGGTTCACAATGCTCGTAACCCTGACCCACATGGCTGCATACTGACTCATGTAAATCACTTAATGGGAAGTCTGCAACAAAGACTTTATGTGAAGAACCATATTCTACCCGAAAGATCAACTTGGGTCAGTGATCACTTCATCCAACATTAGATGAGTTGCAGCCAAAAATCACAAGAGAAATAGAAAAATAAACGTGACTCTAGCTCATAATTAAAAGCTGATGATTTGTAGTTTTATTTAGGTTAAAAGCATAACATTTTGGCCTTCAATAGCCTTCATCAGATTGGCAATATTCTATCTCTCTCCCTACAGACCGTAAGTGTAACCCCAGCCTGCTGAGTCTGGTGAACAACACCTCAGCCCTACACCTGCCCCAGGGCAAGATGTCCAGTGGTGGGATGCACAGGGCATCATAGGACTGGTCATCTTCTTCTTCTGCACTCTCTACGCCAGGTATGACATCACAACCTAGAGTAGGGTTCTCTCCAATCCTGGGGACCCACAGGACAGGACCGGGCACTCTTTGTAGCAGCCCAGACCAGAGACGCCTGATCTAAGTACTGGGCTAGATTAAACATGTGCAAGCCTGTGGATCCTCAGGACTGGATTTGAGAAACACTGGTTCAGAGCTCTGTTTCAAATGAAATCCAGACTATTCAAGCCTGTCCACGTCATCACTTCTCTGTTTTCCTAACGGGTTTCCTGCTCTTTCCTACTCCTCGCCTGCAGCATCCGTTCGTCCAACAACACCCAGGTGAACAGGCTGATGCAGACAGAGGAGGGCCAGGGTCTGGCTGCAGACGACCACGAGGCGGCCACGGGGGATGACGGAGTCAGACGGGCCGTGGACAATGAGGAAGATGCGGTCACCTACTCGTACTCCTTCTTCCACTTCAGCCTGTTCCTGGCCTCCCTCTACATCATGATGACACTCACAAACTGGTACCAGTAAGTAGCTCTGTTTTCTTTGGTTATATCTGAGGGGATAGAGGAACAGGGATGTGTACAGGTATAACTGAGGTGATTCACGTTGTTCGACGCCTGGACACATGCGTCAGCTCCCCGACTTAATGCCTGGGCTTTAGGTCAGCAGGCTAAGAGTCTTGTGGGACTCAGACGACCCAATTTCAAACCATCACACATGGTCTACTATGTGTTTTTGAGATGGTAAATAAAATGTGATTGATCCTGATTTCTCCCCAGACCTGACGCAGACTACCAGGCCATGCAGAGCAGTATGCCAGCTGTGTGGGTGAAGATTAGCTCTAGCTGGATAGGCCTGTGTCTCTACCTCTGGACCCTGGTAGCTCCTCTCATCTTCTCTAACCGAGACTTCAACTAAAGGCATACACATTCCATCCAGGGCTAAGTCCCAAATGGCACCCCTATTCCCAAGTAGGAATAGGGTGGGTGTCTTTTCAGATTTGCTAAGGGACTTTATTGTTTGGCATGTTTTGATTTACATATTTTCATTGTGCTGCTTGAAGAAGGGGACCACTGTCATAATTATTATTATTTTTTATTTTTTTTGGGGGGGGGCTGGTCTCATTGACTAGACATAACATAGTAAACGAATGTCCGGGACACTCAAATAAGTATTATATGCAACGTTTGGTATGGTTATATAAAACAGGTTACTTAAGGCAAAAACGAAAGGAGGGTGGTTGGACGGGGTGGATGGGTGGGCGAATCTCATCACTGACAACTTTAGCATTTTAGCTAATTGGCAACTTTGCAACTACTTAATACTTTTTAGCTACTTTGCAACTACTTAGCATGCTAGCTACCCCTAACCTTAACCCTTTAACCTTAATCCTTAAGAGTCTAAATAGTCATACCAAGGATCATTTAGTGATTTGATTTAGAATTTTATATAACATGGAATTTGGACTTACTGCTATTTGCCCATAGAAACTCATTGAATAACAGATTCATACAATAAAAAATAGTAAAAAAAATGTATCAAAAGGAAGTTTGTTTTAAAGCGTCTGTCCTATGTCTGAGAGATATAAGATCAGGAAATTATAGTGAATTTTTTACCCATATTTAAAGATGCACTATGCAGAAATCGTACCTCCATTTACTAATTTCAGTTTGTGACAAAACAAGCAAGTATAGTGTAGAGAATCATTGTACCATCTAAACCACAGTGAAATATATTTTCCATAAGCAAAAATATTGAATTTTCAGATGTTTGAAACTGGTGTACAAAACTGAAAGTAAAAGATGCAAAAACTAAACTTAAACGGAAGCATAGAAATAGTGCACATAAAACAGATGAGACTTGCTTTCAATGAGAATGACAGTTCTATAACACACATTTCTATGTGAATTTGGTCAGGGAGCTCAAAAAGTTACACATTGCATACTTCCATATATGTTTTTAATGGTACCGGGCTACCTTCAGACGAGTCTTGTGAGGCTTGTGGGCATCCTAGAGCAAAACAACCGACATGTTCGTGAGAGTCACCTTTCCATCGAGGGGTCATATTAGTGTGTAGCCCAAGCTTTTCGGACGCTACAGACAGAAGTTGGCAGATCGGCGGTACCGACTTCAGACGAGTCCCGTGGGGGTTGTGTTAATGAGAGTCATCTTTCCATAGTGGTCATATTAGTTTGTAGGCCGAACCGTTCAGATGCTACAGACTTTTTCGTGAGAAGAGCGATTTTCGGGATGTCTCAAGGTCTGGCAAACACCTCTGTAGCTTGGCCACCTTCCACCACAGATGAGGAACACTGCCATTGGCGGCTGCGGTGGATTGAGACGCAGACCATGCCCCCCAAAAAAACCTGTCTATCTTAAACAGACAGTTTTAATGGGGATTTTTTTTAGTATTATGCTAATTAGATTTTCACGGGGGTGCGGACGTAGACTCTAGGGGGTAACCACTAGCATAGCTAACGTTAGCCACCTAGCTAACTTTAGTCACAACAAATTGGAATTCGTAACATATCGTACAAATTACAATTCATAACATATACAAATTGTAATTCGTAACATATCATACAAAATGGATGATGGACATCCACAAATTATTACCTACCATACCAAACATTTATACTAATTTGAGTTTTCCGGATTTTTGTTTACTATTTTAAGTCTACCAATGAGTCCAAGTTGTTGTTGTTGGCCATACTTAAGGTTGGTTTTATCTTTTTTTGTGTGTTTAAAAAAATATATACATACAAATCAAATGGGCTTGGTTTCACGCTTTAATAATATTTCCTACCTTTTCTGGTCAGCGAATCTACTAAAATGGCTTATTAAGTCCTCAAATCGTATGATCACGATCAGTGTGTTCAACCAGCCAAGTAAATTCCACTCAGGTGTTTCTGCATTACCCGTTCCACTCCTCTTCAGATTTGCACAACATTTAGATCATCTCTCTTCACAATATACCTTGCTCAGTCCACCCACTACATTTTTGGCAGGGTGTCATCACTACAAATTAGCATAGTCTAGAGGGTGTTGTAAACATTATTACATGATTGTTCCTCCAATGCACTTTCTCTTGTTTTTTTGTTATTTGCTTTATACACATATCACGGTGTGTCTGATTACAACGTACATATACATTTCTTTTTATAGCTAAGGAGATTTGTAAAAGTGCCTTTAAACCTATAGATTTGCTACACAATACCTATTCAGTCAGACTATAGACTAGCTTTATATTCAAATGTTTTATGGTTTGTCATACAAATCTGTCATGTATCTCTAATGCCTCTCCTTATCATGATCAAATGTAATAAATCTGATAATCTCTGAAATGTCTTCCAGTGTTCTATTGTTATTTTAAGAGTTCATGGTGTCCTGTAGGTGGGACTGTTGCCCCTCCAAATTACTGTATATTTCTGCTAGATTTTCTTTGAGATTATTAGTTTTATGCACCTCTTTCAGATAAGTAGAAAGTGCCCTTGGCACTTCTTTTGGGACATATTAAAAATAGTGTCTCTGCCATTCTCCCTTCAAAAGCCAGAAATGTCAGCTCAATTCACATGAGGACAATCAATGCCTAATGCCGTCTACAAGTTAAATAGCATTTTCCATGTAATAGCTGCAGCAACCTTGGAATCAAGTGCTTTACTCTGTTCAACACTACTCTTACTTCATTCCGTCGGGGACATTCCAGAACATGAGAAGTAGAGGAAACCGACCAAAGACATGTCATCACATGATGTCATCACATGATGTCATCAGTCCAAGCCAACAGGGATTCCAGAACCTCCCATCGCCTCTGGCTTCATTCCATAACCCTGATCACATGACCAGGATTACGCTCCAATAGGATTATTCTTATTTTCTTGTGACGCAGGATTACCCATGCAGCCACACCACACACTCTCTCTCTCGCGCTCTCTCTCTCTCGACAAGGGAGTGAGAGGGAATGTGATTTCCCCATCACAAGATCGGCATGAGGAGGGGGTTGAACACAAGCCCAACAGTATATTCATTGAGGACCAAATGGGTTCGGCTGGGGAGGAGGAGCACAGAGAGATGGGTCTGTAGCCAGTCCATGAAGTCAGCCTTGAATCATATCACCGCCATCAGACCGATTTGAGTGTGAGTTTACGCATAGCAGAATTACACACTGAAGTACTGTACACATAATGGAAAATAAAGTGAGTGCCATGCCATATTAATTTCAACTGACTGTTATGGTGGTCAATGTTAGTTTGGGCTTTGTGAACACACCACACACAATCACTTTGAGGTCCTTCCTTTCGCTCTTTTACAGGAAATAATCTGTGTATATATCTGAGTGTTTTTTGGTCCTGTACACTAGTAATTATATTTATATGATCTTGATGAGTGGGTGACTTTGTTAGTGTGGTGACACTGGGTCTCTGTGACAGACAGTTCGATAGCGGTGGAGTCCCCCTCACAGCAGGCAGGCAGACCTAGCCTACATAATGCTATTATATAATGGCCTGGCTGGGGGAACACACCATGCTATGACTCTGGCTGGGACCTCCACTGTGGTGCGGTAGAGGAGAGAATCTGGGAAAGGTCTGTTGCATAAGCCGGTTAGGATCATGCTCTCACTCGGGATGAGGACTCCTACTGTGCATCTGGATACCTCTGTAGGTTGAGGTGAACACACAGGTAGAGGGAAAATGTATATTCTAGAGCAGGGCTCTCCAACCCTATTCCTGGAGAGCTACCGTTTGTAGGTTTTCACTCAAACCCTAATCTAGCACACCTGATTCAAAAAATTAGCTGGTTGATAAACTGAACCAGGTTAGGTACAACTGGCGTTGGAGCAAAAACCTCTAGTTGGCTAGCTCTCCAGGAACATGGTTGGAGATTTCTGTTCTAGTGAGCTACTGGCTGTGCAGGCTTTTTCTTCAGCCCTACTCTGACACACCAGATTCAGTTAATCAACGTCATGGATCTATTACATTTACATTTTAGTCATTTAGCAGACGCTCTTATCCAGAGCGACTTACAGTTTTAGTGAGTGCATACATTTTTCATACTGGCCCCCCGTGGGAATCGAACCCACAACCCTGCCGTTGCAAGCGCCATGCTCTACCAACTGAGCTATTACTATAGATTAGAATCAAGTGTGTAGTAGGGTCAGACCAGATTCCTGCAGGAGGGAGGATAGCTACTAGCATCCCAAGAGGAGGATTGCTTGGCAACTCTGGTATAGAATATAACCTAGCAACTCTCAGTATGGAGAGCTACTGTCAGGTTATAATCTATACCAGAGGGTTGGCAGGTTAATCTGGCAACTCAGTATATAACCTGGCAACTCTCTGGTATGGTATATAACCTGACAACTCTCTGATATAGTTTATAACCTGGCAACTCTGGTATACAGTGCATTCAGAAATTAATCAGACCCCTTGACTTTTTCCACATTTTGTTACAGCCTTATTCTAAAATGGATTAAATACAAAATGTTCCTCATCAATCTACACACAATACCCCATAATGACAAAGCGAACACAGGTTTTTAGAAATGTTTGCAAATGTATAAAATAAAGTAAATCAGAAATACCTTATTTACATAAGCATTTAGACCCTTTGCTATGAGACTCAATTGAGCTCCGGTGCATCCTGTATCCATTGATCATCCTTGAGATGTTTCTACAACTTGATTGGAGTCCACCTGTGGTAAATTCAATTGATTGGACATGATTTGGAAAGGCACACACTTGTCTATATACGGTCCCACAGTTGACCGTGCATGTCAGAGCAAAAACCAAGCCATGAGGTCGAAGGAATTGTCTGTCGCGCTCCGAGACAGGATTGTGTCGAGGCACAGATCTGGGGAAGGGTACCAAAGAATGTCTGCAGCATTGAAGGTCCCCAAGAACACAGTGGCCTCCAACATTCTTAAATGGAAGAAGTTTGGAACCACCAAGACTCTGGCGAGCTGGCCGCCCGGCCAAACTGAGCAATCGGGGGAGAAGGGCCTTGGTCAGGGAGGTGACCAAGAACCTGATGGTCACTCTGATAGAGCTCCAGAGATCCTCTGTAGAGATGGGAGAACTTTCCAGAAGGACAACCATCTCTGCAGCACTCCTCAAATCAGGCCTTTATGGTAGTGGCCAGACGGAAGCCACTCTTCAGTAAAAGGCACATGACAGCCAACTTGGAGTTTGCCAAAATGCACCTAAAGGACTCTCAGACCCTGAGAAACAAGATTCTCTGGTCTGATGAAACCAAGATTGAATTATTTGGCCTGAATGTCAAGTGTCACGTCTGGAAGAAACCTGGCACCATCCCTACGGTGAAGCATGGTGGTGGCAGCACTTTCCAACATGACAACGACTCTAA